AAAAGGACCAACAGATACATCAGGGTCTTTCTTCCTACAACTATCAGACTGTACAATCAACACAGGTCCTGGTAGAACACACACACACACTCACACACACACACACACACACACACACACACACACACACACACACACACACACACACACACACACACACACAGTCATAAAGGATTTCTGATCTTGATAACTCACTCTAGTTCACGTTAGCTAATCTTTAACTTTAGCTGCTAAACCTGTTTGAGGCTAGCTAATGATTAAGCGGATGCACCAGATGAGGAGTTTAGTATCTAACACAGTTCTGGTTATGTTTTGAAGACAATTGTATTTGTTCATCTTTTTTTAAATAACATCCATGTGTTTGTACATTTCCAGATGTGTAATTTGTCAGCACAACGGGAGGCTAATTTCCGAGAAAGCTGAGAGGTACCAAATGGATGAAGAAACAGACCGCGGTGAGTCCACACATTTATAATCCATAGCTTCTTAAATACAGAAAGTTACTGAACTGTTTTTAGGGTTTAGATATACCCGTCAAGACAATTGATTTTGGGAGGAGGAGAAACTTGGCTTCTTTAGTCATTTGAAGTATTTAAATAAACCTTACAAGATGCCCTGAGTTGTCTTTTTTCAAAATAAAAGTGGTCCATGAATGGAGCCTTGGGGCACCGAACCAGAAACTAAAAACCAAAGTTTCATCTTTAAAATATTTATAGAATACCTTCTATTTTGCTCTTTGTGGTTTGAAACAGGTTTTTAGTGCATGTAAATGGTCTGTTGAGGCTAAAATCCTTCCAAAGGGAGCTTTTCTCACGCAATTTGAAAAAAATAAAGCATTTTCTGAACATTGAAGCAGGGCGGGAACTTTAGGATGTTAGCCTTTGCAGACCATTTACATGCATACAAACTTATCTAACATATTACAGGAAAGGGCAACCCCCAAAAAGCTGAATAGAGTTCTCTTTAAGATGAATTCATTGTCTTTTGGTTTTCTTCTCCATATCGGTATCTGATTGGTCTTCTAGTCCTATGATGCTACAAAATGTAGTTATTGTTGATTGAACCCCTGAAACATAGTGTCTAAATATGAAATGTTTCGCTAAATTAAGCCAATAAACTCTTTCAAACTTGCACCGAAGTGATGGAGCTTTTGCAAGCATTAAAAGGATAACTGTGTAATATATATATACCTGGCTTTTAAATTGTAAATGTTATGTTTAATATTTTTTGTAAGCATGCTTTATTTTTTGTAGGCATGCTTCTAAATATCATTCTAAGCTGTCTTTGGCTCTTTTCTGCTGTAACACATGTAAGTGTCCCCTAATGAACTAATAAAGGGATTCTGACACTGATTCTGATGATGGCTCAAATCTGTCTTTCTATGAAGAAAGTGAAGGCGAGTGGAAGACGATCCGTGGGAAGTTTCTGGCGATAAACGCTGCCAGCATGAGCTGTGCGTGTCCTCGCAGCCCCAAAGGACTCTCTCCTGCCGCTCACCTGGCCGACGGCACCACCGACCTCATCCTGGTGCGGAAATGTTCCCGCTTCGACTTCCTCAGACACCTCCTACGACACACCAGCAAAGACGACCAGGTGACACATGATGTGACTTCTCATCAGACTGCATCTTTGTTTGTTGTTTTTAGCGTAAACACTTTTTCGTATTAACGCAATCTTTACCTTGCAGAAGTACATTGCTTGAGAGATGGGGTTTTTTGTCGGACTTTTGGACTATTTGGTCATTAGGGCTTTTCTCTGACTTATGGGTCGATTGACTCCGACTCTGAGTAGCCAAAGAAACTTAAATATTAACTTTAAACAAGCCAAACCATTCAGGTGTATATCAGTATGTAGTGTCTCTGCTGCTACATGTCTCCATGCTTTAATGTTCAAAAAGCCCAGTCTGCTCTGATTGGTTAGCTGGCCGACTCTGTTGTGATTGGTCAACCAATCCCGTTAGCCTATTGGAAAATGCTGTTTAAATGAGTATCGTCTCCTTCTTCCTTTGTTTCCCAGTTTGACCTGAACTTTGTTGAGGTCCACCGGGTACGGCGTTTCTGCTTCACCCCCCGTCACTGCCAGAGCGACTCGGACCTGGACCTGCGGGAGAACGGGAAGCACCAGATCTTCGGCCAGATCTGCAGAAACCACCCGGCCTGCGGCTGTGCGCCGGCCTACAGCAGCTGGAACTGCGACGGCGAAATCCTGACACATACGGCCATCGATGTCAGGTACCACCACCCACTGGGAGCCTTTTAAATTGATAATGTCAAGTTTTTAAAAATAAAAAATAGAGTCAAGGCTGTTAGGCTTCAAATGTCCTTTTTCTAGCTAGTCAAAGTCAACTTTATTGTCAATCTTTCAGTTTTTGTGTACAGACAGACAGATCAAAATGCCGTTTCCCATAATCCCGAAAACAAAAATATGTATAAAAATATGTATATCCTATATACACAATCAACAGACACATTTATACATACAGTGGAAAATATACTATCGAAATTACACCTTTTTAAATGATTATTTTACTAATGTTATCCCACACGGCCATCGACGTCAGGTACCACCACCCACTGGGAGCCTTTTGAAGTTGATACTCTCAAATATTTTAAAACAAAAATGAGAGTTAAGTTTGTTGGGCTTCAATAGCATGTCCTTCTTTTTAGCTGGTGAAAAAGATGCCATCTAAATTACACATTTTAAATTATTATTTTACAAATGTGCATGTGCAGATTTCTCCTAAATGCACCAACAGTTAGAATTGTATATAATGCCCCATTTTCAAGTTTTCTAACATAATATGTTAAGATAACTGTCCTATTAAAGATGATCAACTATGGAGGTGTCATAGTGGGATTTTTTCAAAAACACTTTTCACCTTTATTTAACAATACACACCTTTTTAGCCAGAACATTAGTAGAACAGGTCCCCTTTAATAATAACATTTCTGAAAACTTGTAATACAACAAAATGGTTTTAACTGTAAGTCATTAACCGGGGAAGTTGTATGTAGGTATCTATTAGTTAACATATGTACGCCTTCTCTTTTTGTCTTGTTCTCCCAGAGTGCACAGCAACTTGATCAAGCTGTTTGCACGAGGGATCGAGGAGCCGACTGTGTTTGACGATCTGACCAACCCTTGTGCAATATGAGCCCCGTCAGCACCTGTCAGACACTGGACTCCACTTCCTGTTTCCAGCCCTCGTATCATGTGACACTTCAGGATTCAACGACTCAGCAAAGAGTTGGTCTGTTACTCAACAAAAAAAGAAATGAGGGAAGGAGAAACGTTACTTTCTGAAAGGTCAAAGATTCCTCACAGACAGGAAGTGAAGTGTAGTTTCCTTGAAATGCCAAGACCAGCTTTGAATATTTTCTCTGAACGCTAGCAGCTGATTTAGAGTAAGGTTGAATGGCTGCCGGGTGTCTGGCCCCTGGTTTATTTTCAGTCCTGCCTTGTTATGATATATTTTCATAGTAATCCTCTGATTGTGACTTAGTTTTGTTACCCTAAGTGTTTCTCTGTTTGACTTCAGAGCGGGCTAAAATACCTCCGACTTCTTTTGGGCCACATGAACTTAAACTCATCCTTACTTTGAGCGTTTTGACTCTGACTCGTCTAACTGTGGTGGTCTTTAAGGCTGCAACTAAATAATAATTTTCATTATCCATTATTCTGCTGGTTATTTTTTAGATTTGTTGATTGATCACTCAGAACATTTGTGAAAAATGCCTTTGCAGTTTCTCAAAAAGTCTTCAATGTCTCGTATTGTCAGTAAACAACCCAAAGATATTCACTACAACCTAAAACAGAGGAAAAACTCAATTTTTAAGTGGCCGGAAATGGCATTTTCTGACATTTTCACACTAAGAAATGACCTTCTTATTTATAAATTGACTTTTCTTAATTGTCTGAGTCAACTCATTTTTGATTTTGGCTTTGACTTTTACAAAACTGCTGACAGTTAGACACTTCATATAGACTTAAGTTGCTTATTATTGTTGTTTTTCTTTTGTTTTGTTTGTGGCCCCCTCTGAATCTCCTCTTTTACTACCCTAAATACTGTAAGACTGCAAACTGACACTCCTTAGACTCAAAGACTCTTGACTTATATCTATATTTAATCAAATCAAACTATTGAAATCTGATAGAGAGGTGTTTTTTTCTATTATCCCAGAGTTTTTTTATTGAGCTTATTTGAAGTCGTTTTCAGAAATATATTCGCTTTTTTTGCACATTTACATTTAATTTAAAGTGATCCTGGATTTGGAAATATCTGTTACATGTTTTACGGAAGCCAGACACCCGCCGGTCATGTGATCATTCGGGGTCGGAGGTTGATTCACATTCTTGAAAAGTAGAATGTAAATCCCCTTCACACGGTCAGTACGTGTGGGGGTAAAAAATGCTGAGAGGAGATTTAGTCTCAGTTATGAGAAGATAACTTCCACGTCATGCTTCTCGAACAGAGCCAATAGATTTTCCTCCAGTCCGAACCTGAACTCAATCGTACTATGAAATGGTATTTTTGCATACTTAAACTCCCAGCAATTTAGAAACCCTGATTTAGTCAACCTGGTCGTGGCTGAGAAAGCTGAACAGTGCACTTGAGTGTTTTCAATCTTCCATTTCTGCTCGATATGCAATGAAGCGTAGTAAACACAGGAAAGAACTGCTTTAACAATATTTCACTCAAACTGTCTTCAAGTCAGCTGGACATGTAGCTTCAATCTATTCTCGGTGCAACATTATGTTTTAAACGTACTCTGTCAGGTTTTTTTTGTTTTGTAAAACCTCAAGTTAGTCATCTGAATGTTCCACAAAAATCCCTTAGCTACGGTGGCCGATAAGTGCCAACACGCTTAAACGGTCATATACCAATCCATCGGGAGAAACATGTTGCAGTTTATAAAACGATGCAATTCAAAAAATCACCACTGTGCCCAAACACCTGCCATTGAAGAACATCCTCTCCAACTTTACAACACAACAGTGAGTTGGCATACTTTCAAATCCCAGAATGTGAGCTAGCAGACCGCTTTGTTTCGGACTGGTCTCTATTTTGAAATGTTTATCCACAAATTTCCCCTTCATTGAATCGCGCTGGGAAAAATGCTAATTTTTTTTCACCCAAAGATCGTAATAATTAATGTTATTGCATTAGTGGAAGATTCAGAATATTGATTTAAGGTTTTGTGATTTCTGGTTTTGTTGAAGAAAGATAATTGTAAAGTCCAGTGTTGATATTCCACCATCTGCTCACGAAAAACCTGATCAAAGAATGTTTCGTTTTTTGATTAGACGTTAACAGCAGACGGCTCTTAGCATGTTGTAGCCTGATGTTGGCTGCCTCTGTAGGGTTAGGACATGTTTTAGGAAATACAGTCAAAATCTACTTATATTATTCATTATGAAGTTGCATTTTCTTCCCAATAAGCCTCAGGACCGTCATGTCCCTTTCGTCCACACAGATCATCATAAAAAGAAATGTTCTCATTCCTGCTTTCAAGAGGATGATCCCTTTTTAGATTTGTATGATCCCATGACCTTTCCTTAAGCCCCACCCTGAGGACAGATGGTCCATTTCAGACCTTTTTGGACAAAAACGTTATGCCAAAATGCCAATATGTTATTGTCACCAGCTATGTTTACCTTTTTAGAAGGGCAAATCATACCAGCATACTTTCATGTTTGAATACATAGAGGTTGGCCATTTATAGCTGCACTAAAAGCTCTAAATCACCAGGATGTTGTTAATAAAAGTTGCAACTTGGAGGGAGAGAAGATTGTAATTAAAAAAATAGAAGAAATCAATTTAAAACTGACCGAGTTCAAGATGGATTAAATGGAAACTATTTAGACTTTGACTGGACAGAAAGTGGAGTATCAGCACTGGACTGTCGGACTGTAGACGCTGTTCGTTTGTTTTTTGTGTTTCTTCTTGTGTTGTTGATAAGCAATCCTGTTTCCTCTCTGCTGACGTCGAGCCGGACTCAAACTGATGGAGGAGGGAACCCGTAGCAGCAGCCAATCAGCTCTCTCTCAATCCTCACATTCTGACCAAATACCAGCCAGGGTTTAAACATGTAGCTGTCTGTTCGTGACAATCTCAGCTCAGCCTAGAGGTCTTCACAGGTCCAACACCTTGGATCCAATGAAAAAAGTAAACTACCAAAACCCTGCCTTCATGCATTCATTCTCAAGCAACAACAGGCTGGATTTAAAGGGGACCGTCAGAACTTATCTGATAAAACCTAGAGGATTTTAAGAGGGCGTAACGAGAATACAACAGGGCTCTGATTAGACTGATTACAATGTTAGCGAGAACCGAGAGGACCTGTGAAGACCTTTAGCTGCGCCACCATGTTGGTTTATCTCCTAACGTTGTATTGATGTACAATCAGTCTGAATGTTTGCTGTAAAACCTCCAAACAACAAACCAAATGTACAAACAGAGGTCGACTGATGACAGATAACTGAGGTGGATTTTAAAAGGAGGATACAATTATGTATTAACATTTAGCGGGCTGTTATTATAAATTCAATGTGTTTGTGCTTCAGTATTATATAGTGCAAACCTAAAACTGACTGCATGTTTTCTCTAAATATTTTGCAGGTAGCGACTGTAGCTGATGAGCTAAGCGCTAACATGCTACTTTGCCAGGAACATGCCCGAGCCAGCTATGATAGCCACATAGCTAGCTCAGATGCTAACAGATCTGCAATGTCGCGTTACAAACCATACTGACTGAAAACAAAGAACTGACATGGATAAGAAGATCAAGTTAGTCTGTTGTTCCAGTGCAACGTTAGCATGACGCAGCAAAACCTCTAGGAAGAGCATCAGTCTCAAAGACAATTGTTTTCTCCAAATCTACTGGGCCCAGAGGAACAACCAATCCAAAAGAAACCCCTAAACTGCCCTTTTATACAAATATTTAGAATTCATGAGATTTGTGTAAGCGCGGTTGAAATGAAGGCTAGCACCAATTGCATGCAGTTGAGCCGTTTTGGATTGAATGCACCTGTTAGCTACTTTATTTTAGTTGACACATCTAAACTATCGGCTCAGATTTACACATTGTGAATGTTTTTAAATGGAGAGACATTACTAAAAAAAATGACTTTATATCCCGCTTCCCAGAGGTAGCTCAGAGCTAAAGATGTAATGGAACATTGCTAGAGTTTTCAGGTATTTTGCCATGTAGAATTAAAGATTAGCACTCCAAAAAACGATTATTTAGCATTAATTAATCTTCATAATCTGTTTGATTCGTTATCTCTAAAAATGTCAAAATCAACTCTAATGTACATCTTTTAGTTCCCGTCGTTAAAGTGATTACAAACTATTGAAATTAAAAGTTTTTCGCTTGGTGAAGCTTTAGTTTCTCCCAATTTAAACCCCCTCTAATTTACAGGTGATGTTTCTTTTTTAATCGACACTCTAGTTTAATCTGACGCTGAAAACTAGTTTGGTCTAGTGAATCAGTCGACCTCAAAAAGCTGTAATCTGAGCTGTACCTGATCTTTACCTTCTGCTGTAGCTGTTTCAATTTTCAGGAATAAAAAACATATTAAATTATTCCGTGTACACGACTCAATCATTTGTTCTTAGATTCAGAGAGCTGAAAGTATGATTTAACGGTTCTATTGTATGAAAATGTTGTTATAATGTAAGCCTCGGTTGCTAATGAGCTAACAATGCTAGCTGCCCCCTTACTTTGGTGTTCGCGGTCAAATTTGACCGGTCCTGTTTTAACTGCTATTACATTAACACACAAACCATTAATCATCACCAAATTTCATTTAACACCCTTTCAAACTGTAAATATTGTATCAGACTACTGGTATACATGAAAAACTGTAGTAAATGTACAAAGACTAGACACTGAACATGTATTGTGTGTGCCAGGTGTGATCCATGTGGGGGATGGGCACATAAGAGCGGGAAATGTGTCAAATTGTTCTGTGTGTGTGGCCAGTCTCACGGCATTTCGTGTTATAGTCACGACATTTAATCTATTGATTCGTGTTCACCAACTCGTTTTTCCCATTTTTTTTCGTGTCACACAGAATGATTTTAAAAGCAATGTATTTCTATTGGTGCCTGCAGCACNAGCACGTCTTTTTGTCCGGTCGGGTCGTGGAAGACCGGAAGCTGTGGGGTTCATAAAAACATGTTCTTACTCAATATCAAGACACGATTATATTTTAAATTGTATAATGTCAGACTATTTTTGCCGT